CTGTTTCTCTAGAGTAACTTCTTGGGCCATTTGCTACTTAGAAATCTCTATTGTACATCCTTATATTTGATCAATTATGCCAATTTCTCCCCCTCCCCCCTTTCAGCCCTGGGGGACCACCACCACCTCAATATCCACCTCAAGGCTGGGGAAATACATACCCACAGTGGCAACCTCCAGCTCCTCATGATCCAAGTAAGGTTTTGTTAAAATTTGTTGCTATTTTTTTTTAATGAACTCTACTGTTAGTCATCATCAGAGTGGATTACAAACTACAGTTATGTATTCAGACTGTCATCTGATTCCAGATAAAGCAGCAGCAGCAGCAGCAGACCCCAATGCTGCCTGGGCAGCATATTACTCGCACTACTACCAGCAGCCTCCTGGCCCAGTTCCAGGAGCACCACCAGCCCCCACTGCACCACCGGTGCAAGGAGAGCCCCCCCAGCCGCCCCCCAGCGGACAGTCAGACTACACGAAAGCATGGGAAGAGTACTATAAAAAACTAGGTAACTCTACAGGTGCTTCTCTTTTACTGGAAAAGAGCATTAATGGAATGATTGCTAGGCTTATAGGTAATGACTTGATTTAGAACACTTCAGGTCTTTTCTCTACCTAGTAACCTTTTCATTTTCTTTATCAATATTCTGGATATTGGGTACTTTGGGTTTAAGCTGATGAAACAAGCAAAGTTTTGATAAAGTACACATTAGAAAACAAAGCAAAATAATTTGGTCTTAATAATTTGGGTATCTTGATCATAATTGATTTTATTCCCAAATATTCGTTTTTTATTTATTCCATATTTGTTGGAATATCTTTCATGATAATTCTGTCTTGCCTGCTGATTCCTCAACATTTTTGTCTTTGGCTGGGCAGTAGATGACGGTATGTGAAAACTCCTATTTATGAGTTCATAAATTATGAGCATAACTCCCATAGTTCCAAAAGTATGATAAAATATAGCTCTCTTGGATTATTTAAAAAAATGCTGATCACAAAACAAAACCATTCAAGGCTTCAGCCTTTACTGTTTGGTTCTTGCACCTATAATTTTTGGCTGACTGCTAGGAACTAATGCCATCAGTAACTGAGACCCCCCTCCTTTTAAAGTTCTGGAGGGAATTGGCCTCTTGGGTGGTCAAAATGCTTTTCGGGTGCAACCAAGTCCTGTTATCCTTTGTTGTCCTACAGGCCAGCAGCCCCAGCAGCCTGGAGCTCCTCCCCAGCAGGACTACACAAAAGCCTGGGAGGAGTATTATAAGAAGCAAGGTGAGCTAACATACCACAGGCTTTCTAAGGCAAATTGGATTGGCTTTGGAATGCCAAACATTTTTTGTTGCTCTGTGCATTCTTATATAGGAGTAAATTGCACTGAATCAAAGTGGTGTGTGTGCGTGTGCGTGTGCGCGCATGCGTGAGTGTCCGAATAGTCATGGACGGGATAGACTAGAGACGCTCTTTTCTTTTTGGAAGCAGCTCAAGTAGCGACTGGGGCAGGGCCAGCAGCACCACCAGGACCTCAACCAGACTATAGTGCAGCGTGGGCAGAATACTACAGACAACAAGCTGCCTATTATGGACAGACACCTGGTGCTGGCGGACCAGTGCCACCCCCCACACAGCAGGGACAGCAGGTGAGTGAAGAAGGGGCTTGATTTAGCAGCTGATTCCTGTGATGTAATCTCTTCCATCTGGGTGTTTGTTATGCATATACTTTTAAGTTTAGCTTTGTATTTTGGCACTCTTGCTTCATCTGTGATACAGGGCACCCAGTTTTCTATTAGCACCTGCAAGATAGTAGGATGTAATACTCTTGCCATCAAGAATATTACAATGCATCAGGAAAAGAGTGACCCTATGCATCGTTTCTGACATTTGCTCATGGATGATATTAATGAGAAGGAGCCTGTTTGGTCTAGTGGCTAAGGCTCCAGGTTAGAAACCAGTAGATTGTGATTTCTAATCACATTTTAGGCATGAAAGCCAGCTGGGTGACTTTGGGTCAGTCATTCAGCCTAACACACTTCGTAGGTTTATTCTGACAGGGAAAATAGGAGGAGGGAGGAGTATTATATATATTCACCACCTTGAGTCACTTATAGAATAATAAAAGTGAGATAAAAATCAAATAAATACAATGTTGGTTAAATCAGAACCATAAGTTGTCTCTCTCCCCACCCCACCCCAGTGTAGTCTGTACAAATTGCACATCAAACTGGTATATCCTTGCTGGCTATTGATACAAAGGTTCCAAGAAGCCTGGCCTTCCTCTTGTTCAAAATATCAGTGTTTTACAAATGTATTTTTTGCAACCATGAAAACCTGATGGTTATTTTCATAATAGAAAACAGGAGCTTTCAGGTATGCTAATTTTTTTCTCCAGTACTAAATTCTGTGACTATGCTTCTGGTGCATCAGACCATTGCTAGGCTAGTGGCAATAGCATATTCTGTAAGGAAAGTCACTGACAGATGAGCAAAAAAGTCAAGTTGAAGGTCCTTTCTTCAAGCAACGGTTCTGCGATGACCTAGAAACAAGTAAAACTATTACTAAAAGCCAACATGGGTTTGTCAAACAGATCATCCCAGATAAATCTAATTGCATTCTTTGACTGAATTAGTGGATCACGGAAATACTGTGGTCGTAGTTTACTTAGAATTCAGGAAGGCATTTGAAAAAGGTGGACCTTCTTGGTAAAATAGAAAAGTGTGGGATAGGCAACATCATCACCAGATGGCTTTGTAACTGGTTGACCAGCCACACTCAACATGTAGTCCTCAATGGAACTAGACTGATATGCAGGGAAACCTGCAGTGGGGTACCCCAAGATTCTACCCTAGGCCCAGTACCTTTCAACAGCTTCATAAATGATTTAGAGTTAGACAAAAAACTTGAAGGGTAACTCATCAAATTTGCAAACACCAAGCCAGGAGGAATACTGAAGAATCTTGACAGACTTGAACTTTGTTCAAGTTAGTTCAAACTAACTTTATGGGTCCTATCCAACAAAATGCAATTCCATGATGAAAGTCTTACACTTAGGCAAAAAAAATAAAATAAAAAAAATCACAGGTATAAAATAGGTGGTCTCTGGCTTCACAGCAGTAACAATAAGAGGGATCTAGATGTGGTAGTGGACAACCACTTAAGTATGAGTCCAGCAATGTGCTGCAACTGGCTGCCAAAAAAGCCAATTCATCAACAGAGGGATAGTATTAAGATCAAGTGAAGTGATAACACTGCTTTGTACTGCTCTGATGAGACCACACTTGGATACTGCATGCAGTTCTAGCCACCATGGTACAAAAAAGATATTGAGACTCTAGAAAGAGTGCAGAAAAGTGCAACAAAGGTCAGTCTGGAAGCTAAGCTGTATGAGGAATAGTTGAAGGAATTAGGTATACCTAGTCTACAAAGAGAAGGACTAAGGCTGACATGATAGCCATCTCCCAGTACTGGAAGGACTGTCACAGAGGAGTCTGACCTATTCTCCAAAGCACCAGAGGGCAGAACAAGAAATAACAGATGAAGGATCCAATCTAGAATTAAAGAGCAATTTCCTGACAGTGAGAAAAATTAATCAGTGGAATGGCTTGCCATCAGAAGTTATGGGTTCTCCATTACTGGAGGTTTTCAAGAAGAGATTGGACAACGATTTGTCTGGAATGGTATAGGGTCTCCTACTCAAACGGGGTTGGAACATGAAGACCTTCAAGGTCCCTTCCCATTGTTATTTCGTGTTCTATGAAAGTCATTGGAAGATGAGCAAAACTGTAAAGTGGAAAGCCTTTTCTTATTCATTTTCTGCACGGCATTTCTTCAGGATGAGAGATGCTGTTGCCTCAATGACTGGCCAGGGAAAAAAAGGTTCTATGAAATACAAGAGAACTGAAGCATTCCACAGACTCCCTAATAAACAATGGAATTGGTGATGAACAGGAAGTTCTATCGGACACTGGGCTCATTTTGTTCCCATGCTGTTGAACTGATTGCTAAATGGAATGGTGGTGACATTTGGAACGAGACCAAATGATGAGCCAGAAAAAAGACAGAATTGCATGAATATTAAGCATATATTGCCTGTTTTATTGTCTACTGTTTGTGTTTATAGTACTCTATCGCATTACTGTATTGTGTTATGTTGTATTACCGTATTTTCTGGCGTATAAGGCGACCCAGCGTATAAGACATCCCCCGACTTCGGCGCCGATTTCAACGCTTTAGAAAGTCGTCTTATACGCCGGAAAATACGGTACAATAATGTTCAAGGGTGCTCCGAGCTTTAGCAAATGAGGTTCCCTACCTGAAACGGTGGGGTAAATACCTTGTCTTATTTCCTTTCTCGGTGACAGACTCCTTTGTGTTTTCTCCTTCCACAGGCTCAGTGAGCTGAATGTGACCCACCCCATCTCCGAGAACCTTTTGTTTTGGAGAGAGCTAGTGGCTGCTACTGCCACTGCAGGAAGTGGCAGGGTGGGAAGGGAACTGGCCTGTTGCTCTGATTGCTGGGTTTCTTCTGGGAATCTTGGCCATGCCGCCTTCATATCTCTCTTAAAATAAATCCAGATCTCCAAACCTAATGTTGAGCCAGCAGCCGTAGAAGATAGCCGACTAAAACCGTCTCCACCAGATCCCATCCTGCCTGACACGCACCTCAGTTTTTTCAGGGTAACACTTCTTTTTCTTTTCTGTTTTGTTTTAAAAATAAACTTTACAAGGAAAAGTCACTCTGCTTTTTAGTTAGAGTTGGAACATTCCTCGGACAAAGGTGTTGGTGTTTCAGACAACCCCATCCCTGCCCTTCCATTTTCTCCACTGCTGGGACTGATCGTGTTTTTGTCTGTTCAAGAGGAAATTGGAACAAACAATTATATGCTCAAATTTTTACTTTTTACCGCTCGTTTTTAACTTCACAAATAAATGATAACAAAACATCCCCCTGTGTCTGCTGGGTGGTGTCTTTCTCTCTCTGTCTATAGGGTTTTTTGAAGCTGATGTTTGTTCACGATATAGCTGTTGTAAAAGCCTGATAATGGTCATGAATTAAGAGCTTCCTGTGTTTTTATAGTTTGAGCAGGCATTTGTGCATTTTTGTTGAATAAAATGCTTTTTTGTTTTAAAGTCTCTGATGCAAATTGTGTATGTTTCCAAAAACAGGACCCAGAAGGTTTGAATGTTGCCAGGGCAGTGGGAACAGATATTTGATGTGAGCAGCGGCAGGCTTATTTCTTCATGAGGTTCCATAGACTGAACTGTGATTTGACTTGTGATAATCTTGAAATTCAACGTATGTAGAGTTTTGAAACAGCTTCGTTCTTAGGTATCAGCATATAGGAGTGGTATATCATAAAAGTGAATTTTCCAGCTTCTTGCACCAATGGCTGGAACCCCCTAGCAGATTATTCATCATTAAATCTATTTGGATAATTTGGTCTAAAATGCTTTGCAGGATCTGAGAAGATATTTGGAAATATACATGAGGGTACTCTTTCCACTAAAGAATAATTTTCTTCAGCATTTGGTCTCCCTTTGCTGCCTCCCATCTCCACCCGTTGTTACAGGCTGGGATAAATTACTTTGAGTCTGAGCTGGTATTACAGAGAGATTTTAAAAACAGACCAAGGACTATATATACAACTAAGGACTGAGGCCTACAAGATACTTTTTATTTTGAGTTGAAAGGGAAGGAAGTATGAAGGATGATGCAAGGCATTCACAAATCTATTGACATGGGCAATACAGATGGTCCCCAATTTACAACCACAATTGGGTCCAGAATTTCAGTCAGTAAGAGGTACAGTCATTAAGTGAATGTGACCAGACTTGATTTTACAATTACTTTTACTGCTATCTTTAAGCAAATCTGATTTCCCCAGTTGAGGTTGTTTGTTGGAAACCTATCAGAAAATGTCTGGGAAAGTCACATATTGCAATCACATGACTGTAGGATGTTGCAGCAGGTAAATGTGAGCCAGTTGCTAATTGCCTGACTTGCGATCAGTTGACTTTCGGGGTGGTGTGGCAGTCGTAACTTTTAGGGACAGGACATAAATCACTTCTGAGACCCATAATTTTGATCCATTGTTAACTGAATAGTTATTAATCAAGGACTATCTGTAGTCATAACTTAATGGAAGTGATGGGTAAATATGCAGTTGTTTTTAAAATGTCACCATACCTCCTGCTGATACTCATTTGTGATTTAGATCTATGAAAAGTATATATTAGAGTTCAAAAGTGTTGTGTTGGAAAAGTGCCCAATTATAATTATATCCATGTTCCTGATATGTACCATCACCAGCTGAAAATCCTTATGGCTTAGTAATTCCCAGAATGTCTTACCTTAGAATTTTGCTACCTCAGACATGATTTGGAGATATGATACTCTTTGAAAGTACAAACTTAATTCCAGAGATAAATTAAACAAGTGGGAATGTATCCTTGACTGAGGAATTTCAGAAAGAGCATCTCAATTAATAGAATGACCTAAGACTACTCTGTAGATCACAGCTTGCTTATATGCTGCAACAGTAATTCCCCTTTATTCTATGATTGCTTACTGTGAAAGTGATCTTTCATTCTTGTTTTGGCCAGCAGTTAACTTTGCTCACAGAAAACCATTTGCAAACATGGCTTTTCTTGGAGATTGCAGGATATAATTTAATCTAGATTTCTGAATACATTGTCATAGACAGGACCATTCTCGGTGCTTCAGATTATTAGATTATTGGGTGAGGTTGATGCAGTTCTGAATCAAGATCTTTTTTAAAAAGGGGGGGAGGGGTCTGAGGAAGGCATGCTAATAGACCAGAGCTTAAAATCTTTTATTTTTCTGTAGAACTAAATAGCTATACCACAGAGGTAGCTGCTTTTATCACATCATCAACAACACTGCAGCACTTGGTAAAGACTATTTCTGGGGGTTCCTCCCCAAGGATCTGCAAATACAAAAAACAGTGATGGACTCTTAGATGCCTCTTTTAGAATAATCTAGCCTCTTTAAGCTCTTTGAATAACACCCAAGTTTAGAAATAGGATTGCCTTAACTCATAGGGTTACAGTTATGGGGATGTCTAAACAAGCCTAAATAAAGTAAAATTTTCTTCTTGAATAAACTACTGCTATCTATTCAGATGCTGCTGGGAAGTATGGAAATAATCCATTAAACAGCTTCTCACCATTATGGGATACTGATATATATGTTCCTCTGAACACTGAGATCATCCAGAGATGTTATAGCCAAATTAAAACAACACCTAAATGGTCTTTTTTTTTCATCTTATGACAGTTAATTTACTATGCAAAATGTGATTTCAGTGAAGAAATGTTTTATGCACTTTATTTATTGTGAAGCTATTTTCTGTCAATGCTGTTGGGTGACTTTGAGAGGAATAAAAACATAAAATGAAAATTGTAAAAGCTAGTTAACCTGCAATATCAATTCATTTTTCCATATTTCATTTTATGCTAAAATATCCTTTTAGGGTATAGTATGATAATTTTTGCTTAAGAAATAATGAAATTAATTGATATTGGGATATATTCATGTGGAATGCTATGCTCTCAAGACAGCAATATGAGACTGGATAGATTATTTTAGCTATTCCAAGGGAAAAAATAAATACTCTTTTCATACTTTTAAGAATTCTATATAGAGCTTTTCTTTTACTGGCTCAAACGCAACATGTTAAACAAATAGAATGTGATTTGAACATTTAGGATTCTTATGAAATGCCTGCTGGTGAATAGAGGGAGCCAAAATACAAGATAAATATCTACGATACCACAAGTTTTAATACACAGTATTAAAAAGAGTAAATTAGGTAATGCTTCTAATACAATATCCCCACCAAGTTTCCCCTAAGTAATGTTCTCTCTCATTTCTGTTGTGTATGTGTGTGGGAAGGAGTATTTTGTGAGCTTTACTCCAACCAAATACAAATTTGTGTGACTTAATGTGAGTGTAAGAGTAACTTGCAAATCTATGTGATAGCAACGTTAAAACATTTTCCTAATATAATTTCTACTTTTTGTATTTTAATTATGTCACATACTTCCCCCCTTTTACCGCTATCATTATATATCATTTATATTTATCATCGGCTTAATGGGAAAGAGAGAGCATCTTTGCTGAAAAGTGTTGCTTTAGTCCCAAACAGAATCAAACTGAGCATAGTCCGCCTATCCCAAGCAGCTAGGCTTTCTTTGCCCAGCATCGGGGGGGGAAGGGCAAAGGATAAGAGACCTACATTCCGGAGTATGCTTTTCTGCAGGTAGTAAGTGAGGACAGGGTCACACAGTGTATAGTGAGTCTCAAGCCGTTGCCGGATAATTCTCTCATGGTCATTCATTCTTTGGCCCAGCTGGCTTCTGATCATCAGCCGCTGGATCATAGTCTCTGTAGAACAGTCGAATACTATAACAATGTTGGGCAAACGTCCCACCTGCAATGGGAATGGCACAGGTTGGTTGGTTCACCCTTAGCTTTTTCATTAATATCTAACATATATTTGTTTTGGTCTAAATTAGCCATTTTAAGTTCTTTCCTAGAGTTAAAACAGAACAGTCCTAGGTTGAGCCAACCAATATATTACCAGTATTTACTTCCATATTCTCATCCAGTGACTCCTGTTGCAATTCACGACATCCTACGGAGAGTACCCATCTCATGAGGCCAGGTATAGGCAAGATAGTGTCAGTTTCTCAATCTACAAACATGACCGACAGTGAGGAATGATGCAGACTGAAGTCTAAACACTGGAAAGGCTACAGGTTGCCTGCATCTGCTGTAAACTAAGCCATCTTTTCATGCATGCACGCACAGACTGTACTTACAACTTCCTCAAACAGCCTGGCTTGATTGATTTCTCGGGGAAAGCCTTCAATAAAGAATCCTTTGAAATTTTCAGCTTTTAACATCCTGTCAGTCAGCAGTTCTAAGACGTAGCCCTAGAGAAAAAAGTGCAATGAATCTCAAAAGACTCAAAGATTTTGCAAATCGTACTGCTCTGTCTTCCTTTCAGGATAGGTATGGCTGTTTAATCCATTATCTTGATATCCAAAATTTTATGGTAACAAGTCAGGGAAAAAAAGTTCAGCCCTTTTATTCAAAATGGTAAACAGAGTTCACCTTTCTTGAACTTTGAGAATCAGCAAAGGGAAGATTAAAAATAAATTCCGAGAAAGGTCTGTCGTTGTCTCTAAAGCAGTGGTTCTCAACCTTTCTAATGCCGTGACCCCATAATACAGTTCCCCATGTTGTGGTGAGCCCCAACCACTTATACATCACCGGGTGCCAGGGGCGTGGCCAAAGAAAAGGGGAAAAAATGGCGGACAGCCTTGTTTCGCGACCCCCGTGAAATGGTCATTCGACCCCAAATTGGGTCCTGACCCACAGGTTGAGAACCACTGCTCTAAAGGCTATTGCCTGAAAAATGCAATGTTCATATCAATTTCCTTCCAGTATAGTCCTAGGAAACCAGAAGCAAAGTGGTTATAATCACAGAACCACATCCTTATCATCTTGCAGGGTGCCTACATACATGACCCCCCTCCCCAAAAAAACCATAGAACTGGCTTATAAATCTCTAGTTAGCCTTTTTGCAAAATTATAACAATTTAAGGAAAAAACTGAAAGTTTGATTGAAATTTATTTTCAGCAATAGTCCCATTGTAAGCAGCTAAATCTTTCCAAGAAATCCATAAGCTATCCATAAGCTATTTCCAGTATTGTTCCACAATGGCTTTATACCCAACCATGTATTTCTGATTCTAGAAGTTCCACTTGCCTATTGTCTTTCTGAACAGCTGCAGGGGATGGAACTGTCTACGTCTTAAAATCTGTTTTGATTTTTGAGTGAAGTCAATGAGATCTTAAATACATATGATTGTGTCATATCTTGCATCTTACAGTTCGGTGATTATTACAGCAAGAACTGGCAATGCTGGGCTCATGTCTCTTTGTAGCATTTCTCCAAAGTTTGCACCTCTTAAATCTAATAAAAAGTTACCCAATCACAGCACAATGCTCTGCCATTCTTCAAACCAAACTGCACATAGGTCATCAGTGTGGCTTTCCACAGTTAAAAAGAAGCCTTTAAAAACCTTCTGCCATTATAACCTATTTGCCCGTTTGTGACAGCATTGTCTCAGTCGCAGTCATGGTCCTTATATAAGACTGGAATGTTAAATGCTTCCATTTAATAACAAAACTGAGGGAGACCCACCTGGTATCTTAACTAAGAAAAGATAGCAGGTGGCTGCAAAGAAATTTATTGATAACTATTGCTGAACAGATCTCAAAAAAATAAAGAAAATAAAAAGATAATCAGCCATCCTTCACTAACCAAAATTCTGCCACAAAATATGCAGACTTCTGAATTTTAGAGGTTATATCTAACTCAAAATCTGACATGTTGGATGGTAAATGGTCTAAATAATCTGAGTTAACATCCAAATAGAAGTAAACTCTCAATGGCAATAATAGAACTGAAGAAGTTTAGATGAGAAGCGAAATGTCTTCAAGGAAAAACAAAATCCAGTTCCCCTTTTTGGGGGGGGGGTGGGGAAAGCACCTTTGGGATAACTATGACCTGATTGACTGAGAAACTCCATAAAATCTCAATGGCATATTAATTGACAGTGAAATTAACATACACGGATAAATTCACTGAAGACGTCAAACACATTTCCATCTTCAGGATGAGAGTGAAAGGGATGAACTGAATATTAGCTCAGATAATATTGCTTATGTAATTATAATCATGCTGTCAGTTATTACAGAAATCCTTTTCTTCCTTGAAAGTACTGAGCTTTAAAATGCAACATACACAGTGGACTGAATCCACGCTATATTAGTCTCATTAAAATCAGTAGCCCTTAATTTAATAATGAGTCGTTTGTATTCATTTCAGTAGGAAGAAAGCACAGCCTACATCTAGTCCAGGTTTTTTTAAATGTTCTTAATAAAAATGGATTCTGCCCAGAATAGATATACTGTAGTAGGGCCTTACCGAGGGCACCAGAGCCCCTTTCATCAGGATCTCCCTAATGGCTTTGCCCTTACTAGTACTCCTGCTGGCTTCTTCCCGCAGCAGTTCTCCAATAGCCACATGGGAGAAGTCGTATTTGCTAGCTAGCCGGATACTCTGCACATCTTTACCAGAGCCAGGACCTCCTATCATAAAGATGATGATAGAGTCTTTCAACTTTTCTGCAGCAAAAGAAAAGACAGTCATGGAAGGATGCACTACTCAGGCAGTTTCTACCAAACAACAATTGCACTTTGCAAAGTGGGACCCCTAACAGCTTATCCAGAAAGAAAGGAGGTCTTACAGATTTTGAATACAATTAAGATACTGCTAGTCAGAATGAACAATCCAGCAGAATGTCTTTTTGCGCATAAAGCTACCTTAGAGTAAGGTAATCTGTCAGTCACTCTCATCCAGTAATTTATATTCCCACAATAGCAGTTCTTCAAGGTGCTGATACTGGTTGTGCAAGGCATGTGTTCTACTGTTGATGGTCCTGAGCAAGATATATCAGTTTTCCTTTACCTGAATGCTAAGTGAAATCTTACTAACCTCTGACAAGTATGTTCACCCTACCGGTCTTATATTAGGACTTAAATTTCAACTCCAAATCTCAAGAGTGGAATATCTAGTCTAATGTTAGGGCTCTGTTGCTTCTTCCTCTATTCTGCATTTCAGAAGCTTTCTGACACAATGAAGAATTCTGAAGAGTCTGAATATATGCACTCTGGTGTCATTTCAAGAAGTTGACCATAAAGTTGATCTAAAAGCTTCAAGGGAGGGGAGAATTCCTGCTGTTTACAGGCTTTTATATTTTCTTCTTTGTTCACCTGTCATTAAGCAGATGGAACAGGACTATTCCAAAACAGCCTTTGTGATAATGGCTGGGAATGATCCCAGTCCTTCTCTAACAAATCTGGATTGAATCCAGTCAGAGAAATTCGGATCCAGCCCTCTCCCTAAATATACTGTCACACTCCACCATGCCATTTTATTTTAAATCAGAAATGACACATGGGCAGCTACTATAGTTTGTAAACTAGAGCATGTAAATGTGAAGTTTGCCAAAGAACCCCTGCTGGAGAGGCAGCAGCATCAAGTGGCAGGCAGAAGAGCCAAATGGGAAACAGACCAACATCCCTTATGTAGTGCATGATTCCCTGGAAAATTTTCTTTATCAAGCCCTACTGAATGAACTAGAATTTGCATATTTGTTCTGCTGAAGCTTATAGAAACTCCTTGTGTATTGGGTATTGGGAAGGTTTCAAGCTAATAACCCTCCTCATCCTAGAGCTAGGAAACAGAATCAAAAGAAGCTTGATGACCAGAAGCTTGCTGAAATACTACTCTAAATATTACAGCATATGTAGAAGGGAAGAAACTGAGTACCTTTTAGTTCATGCTTCAAGGGTTTGGTGGATTTTGGAATACTGCCCTGGCAAATCCCCATTCTGAAGACTCATCCCAAGATCTCCAGGCACTGGTCCAGCAGACTGCAAACTGATGTACAAAACTAATTTGGCCATTTCAGCTTAGCTGACATTCTGATGTCACAGACATCTGATGTCAAGACTCACCAAACCTGGATCAAGCAAAACTGGGAGGGGCAGGTCGCTTTCATGGTTGGTAATCTGTTGCAACTAGTCTAAACTGTTCACAAAGAAGTGCTTCTCTCTACTCAGCTCAACTCTCTCAACAAATAAATGATGTCGTTCAATTTCTATTTGCAGGTCTTTGTTATTTTGTGGTTTTCTCCAGTTCCTGCACTACATGCTGTCCACAGGTAGTACCACACCACTATACAGTACAGGTTTTTTTTTTGTTTTTTTTTTTTGCCTTGAACAGTTAAATCCGAGATGTTGTGTGTGCTTATCTGTTTGAAATCACAGAGCACTTTAGCTTCATTTTCTATTACCGTCTATTTTCTGGTCCCACCAGTACTTATATATGAACTATTTTGTATATGTCTGTAACAGATTAGGAGATATATCTAGAAGCCTGGATGGTGTAATAGTTAAAATGTAAGCCCCGAGTTCAATTCTCTACTGGCATTGAATAGATCAGATTCAGTGGAGTCTAAACATGTCTATTCACCCCCTATGCTCCTTTGAAAGGGAGCTGTTCTTCATGAATTCCTATTGCAAAGCATGAAATTACAACGCCATTTTAAATACATTAAATTACTCTTTCCCATCTCCCCACCCTGCTTGCCAAACGAAGCTACCGCACGCTAACTCAGAGTTCATAAGACCCACCCCGCAACTTCCGCTGAAAAGAACAGGCGTTTCCGCTCATACTCCGGCAATAGGTGGAAACCAAAGAGATTTTCCTTTCAAACCGGAAAACTGCAACTTCAGGTTAAGCTGCAAGCCCCCAGGGAACAAGAGCAGAGTGGAAGCAGAAATAAATCAGAAGGAGTGTTTACGTAGAATGGGCAAAACTGCAGGTTCTCGTTCTCTAAAGCGAACCGTAAATGAACTGTGTGGCTGATCTGAAAACCTTTGTATAAAATCTCAATTACACTGTTAGCCAAAACACGTTACAAGAAAAGACCACGTTAAAAGAAATAGTGTTAGAAGCAAGGATTGAATGCCACCCCGTGGTATTTATTTAAGAGGCCCTTCCTCTTACACTAGGCTAGAAAAGGAGACCGTGAGTTATGCCTTGGGCATAAAGCCAAGCTGGGCAACCTTGGGACAGTCACTCTCAGCTCTAGGAAGAGGGCAAGATCAAACCACTGCAAACTGCGAAGACTGAGAATCAACATTGACTTGAAGCTCCTTAAACCTAGGTTGCATTCCTGGGGAGGCTGTTTAATATCAATCTGACATGAAAGTTTTCTTTGAAAGCTGTGAAGACTCACACGGCATTTCTTTGACTTTAACCCTTATGTTTACATTCTCCCTTTAACCCTTATGTTTACATTCTCCCACCAAACACCATCTTGCAACAAGCTCATCTTGGTAACTATAGTGATTTAAGAATGCCAAGGTTCCTTTGGCGCAGTATCTCTGACTTCTGCCCGAGAAGTATAGGGATTCCCAATCAACGTCCCTTCCAAAGAGAAGGCTCTGCCATTTCCCACTTTTTCTTTAATCGGATCTGATCTTTCCGGAGCCGCCAGTTCTTAGGAGCCGCTTTGCAAGCCAAACTTTCTTCCCAACCGGGCCAGAGCCATTTTCTCGCACTGTTCTGGCCAAGTATCCAGAAAGCTGGATATGACTGGAGGGGTCCAGAAAATCCAAAGGGATACATTTTCTGCACTTCTGGCTCAACTTGCCGAACATATAACAACAATGCAGTCTAGTCCTTTCGTAAACCAGGCTGGGCAGCGCAGCGCCGTCTCCAGCTTCCGGTCCAGGTACTACCTGCAATAGCTCGGGCTTCACCTGGAGAAACCTGAGCCTTGTAGCCTCGCCCCTTGTGTTTCCGCGTCCTCGCCTTTCTCACCGCCCTTAAAGGGACTGACGCGCCTACCCAGCACGTTTCTTTCGCAAAGGACGGGAAAGAGACGCTTTTTCTAATCCTTGCGTTCTCCCTGCCCGCCATAGGTCTGTTTGCTCCCTGGCGTGTCAGACCTCGGTAGACCCTCCCTTGGCTAGCTTCGCTGACAGTCGCTTTAACAGTGGGTCTCCGCAGACCATTATCAAAACGAAAATAACTCAGCGAGCCTTTTGAGCTTCTCACAGGCAGGCTAGTATCGTAACCACGATGCGATGCCGGAAGTTTATTAACAACCACAACGTCTACTTCCTTTTCAGCGGCCGCCAGGGTTTGCGCATGCGAGTTTGAGGATCTGGCTGACACTGTTTAGGTGAGAACGAGGGAGCCGCGGAGAAGAGAAGGGAAGGTTGCTGCTGGGAAAAAGAACCCGGCCAAAACTGTCCTCGGCTGCCATCACCTTGCCGATCGAGCGAGACATTCTGAATCCTGGATGTCTTTTCCCCTCTGGGATGGATCCCATCATCCTTCCAGTGCCCGCTTTCTGTCTCTAGCCGCTCCGGCATCGAGCCGGCTTAGCTGGGGCTTAGGCGTCCCGGCTCGGAGGTCTCCACAACTTCTCTTGCTCACCTTCCTGTAATTGCCAGCTAGGTTTTGGCATCATAGTTCCCAGCTCCTCTCAGGAGGAAAGATCTTAGCCAGAAAGGAGAGGAAGGGG